CCCCCTCTGTGCAGGTGGAGGAGGGGATGCACCTGCTGATCACGGGGCCCAACGGCTGTGGGAAGAGCTCCCTGTTCCGGATCCTGAGCGGCCTGTGGCCCGTCTACGGGGGCCGGCTGCACAAGCCCTCCCCCCAGCACATGTTCTACATCCCCCAGAGGTAGGCCACCCCCCCCCCCCCCCCCAGAGGTAGGCCACGCCCCCCCACCCCTTTATCACCCCCCCGGGGCTCCTTTCTGTTAACCTGATCCTCAGAAACAGGAGCTGACTGAGCAGGGGGGGCATCCAAATGAGGCTGAGAACGTTATTTCTTTATCATTTCTTTGTTTTTTTAAAGTTTTTAGGCAAGAGGAGATTTAAAATAACTTAAAATCCAAACATGTTAAAGTTATTTAAAGTCATTTTAATTCTTAATGGGAGGAAGACAACACACTAATATCAGATCGACTTTGTAATCACAATAAAAGATACTTGTAATAATTAAAATAAATCCTTTAAGATTTAAAGAAACAACGGACAAAAAGACGAACTACAACTACATTCAAAGACCATCTTTTTTTCCCATAAATAACAAACCAAACGTGTCCCTAAAGCTCCTATAAATAAATCTCCTGAAAAACTTGGAAATTGATTGTAAAGGACAGGAGAAACAATGATTTTTTTCTCTTAAAAATACCCAAAAAAGCATCTTAATGTCCAGATTAGTTTATTATAATTCTAAATTAGTCATTTAGCTTTAAACTAGCCTGACAGGAGTCGATTTGATGCTTAAATCTGTAAGCAGAGAGAAGTAATCGGAGCCCTAAAATCCAAACATGTTAAAGTAATTTAAAGTCATATTAACTCTTAATGGGAGGAACACAACACACTGATATCAGATCAACTTTGATTTTTGAAAACTTTGTAATCACAAGAAAAGAAAATACTTGTAATAATTCAAAGAAATCCTTAAAGATTTAAAGAAAAACACGAACTCAGATTCTGTAGGAGCTTAAAATCAGACCTGTTCCTGATATGAAGGCAACATGGTGGATGTCAGCCACATCCAAATACCATCTTTTCTACTTTTATTCAAACTAAGTCTCTTTTTTTCTGTAAATAACAAACCAAACATGTCCTTAAAGCTCCTGGAAATCACCATTCTGCAGGTTCTGGTCCAGTAAAGCTCAGAAATCTGATGTAAAGAACAGGAGAAACAGTTATATTTTCTCTAAAAATACCCAAATAAAGCAGCTTAATGTTCAGATTAGTTTATTATAATGCTAAATGAGTCATTTATCTTTAAAAGCAGCCTGACAGGACTCGGTTTGATGCTTAAATCTGTAAGCAGAGAGAAGGAATTGGAGCCCTAAAATCCAAACATGTTAAAGTCATTTAAAGTAATTTTAACTCTTAATGGGAGGAAGACAACACACTGATTTCAGATCAACTTTCAAAACTTTGTAATCACAACAAAAGATACTTGTAATAATTCAAAGAAATCCTTTAAGATTCAAAGAAACAATGGACTAAAAGGACGAACTACAGCTACATTCAAACACCATCTTCTCTCCTTTTATTCAACCTCAGTCTTTTTTTTCTGTAAATAACAAACCAAACGTGTCCCTAAAGCTCCTAGATATAAATCTCCTGAAAATCTTGGAAATCTAATGTAAAGTAGAGGATAAACGGTTATATTTTCTCTAAAAATACCCAAATAACGTTCAGATTACCTTATAATAATTATAAATCAGTCATTTATCTTTAAAAACATCCCGACAGGAGTCAGTTTGATGCTTAAATCTTAAACAGAGAGCAGGAATCGGAGCCCTTTTGCCCCTGAAATGTAACCGGCTCCCGGCTGCTCTGCTGTGAATATTTCATGTGTCTGATGAGACCGGAGAGCCAAAATGGCCGCCATTGGCTCTGGATGTTGTTGAACCGGTTTTCTGTTCTTCCCTCTGATTACACGCCCCGTGTTAGAATAATTGTACAATAGTTATCATGCATTCTCTGATGTGTGAATGTAAGGGTTTAACTGTGCTTGTGTGATAGCAAGAAATTACTATCCTAAGTACAAGTTGGTTTGCAGATATGAGAAGCTGACCCAGCAGTGACCCTTGTGTCTGCTGACCACAGTAGTGATCCTTGTGACCACACACCTTTTTGGCAGCGTGAAACAAAGAAACAACTGCACTTTGTTTTACTGTCAAACCAGTTGTATCCTGTGATCAAGAACAATGTATAATCAATCATGTGTGCTTCTTCTGTCTTTCGAGAAGATGAAGTCACAAGATGTTGAAGGAACCAAATAAAAGGACAGGAGAGCAGGAGAGAGCTCAGAGTAGGTTGGAGATTGTAAGGTCTCCGGTGCCCTCCTTGCACTCCTTGCAGTATTCACTGTACTTACTGTGTCTGTCTATTTTTGTCCTCTTGCAGCAATGAGTTTAGAAGTGTTTAGGGGCATAACCCTGACA